AAATTATTCTTAAAATATTATTAAACAATCCAATAATCAAACCTGTGAACCTGCCCGATTCCGCAAAATAATTAATAAAATATATTTCATTTCCTTGGCGCCGAATATTATTAATACTATTACAAATAATATTACGAATGATATAAATTTTTACAAGTAAAATTTGTAAAAATTTGTATTATTTGTAACATTATTATACAATTACAAATAAAATTACAAATAATAATATTGGGTGAGTGCAAAAGTTCGTGCGGAGTTTGTGAGTAAAAGTCACACAGTGATTAGGCAAACAAAAATCTTTATTCAATCAATGATATATTCTCCATCGTTTTCTATAATCTTTTCCCAACGTTCTGGCAGCATACGGATGCCTCGATCATAAAAACTGCGCGGTTTAGATTCGAAGAACGAAGAGACGCCGTTTTTTAAGGCCTCCAAAGAGTCAAAGTTTTTTCCATTTAAATAATTTTGCAATGACCGGAACAAGTGATAGTCAGATAGTGCGATATCAGGAGAATACGGTGGATGCGTTAAGACATCCCATTTCAGGCTCTTCAGTTTGCGCAGCATCTTTTTCGAAACGTGTGGTCTGGCGTTCTCGTGATGAAAGACGACTCCCTTGCGATTTGACAAAATCGGACGTTTCTCTTTTATTTCTCGATTCAGATTGGTTAATTGGCGACAGTACTTGTCCGAATCAATCGTTTCGCCAGCGGGGAGAAGCTCGAAATAGATTATGCCCTTGCAATCCCACCAAACAGAGAGCATCACCTTCATCGGGTGCAAACTGGCCTTTGGCATTGCGTCACCATGCTCACCTGATTGTTTCCATGTCCGTTTGCGCTGAACATTGTTGTAGAAGACCCATTTCTCATCACCCGTCACTAGTCGATCCAAAAACGACTTGTTATTGAGCCGCCCGAGTAAAGAAACGGCTGCAGAAATTCGCTTGATTTTGTTCTTCTCGGTCAGCAAATGGGGCACCCATATATCGAGCTTCAAATCGAATCCCATCTTTTTTAAACGCCGAAAAGCGGTTGATCGGTCAACGTTTAGTGAGTAGTAGCAACTTCTTCTGTTGAAATTCGCGGATTATTGAGCACTAAAGTACGCAAAACATCGTCATCAATGTCAGAAGGTCGTCCAGAGCGTGGCTCGTCTTCAAGGTTAAATTCTCCGCGCCGAAATTTAGCAAACCATTTTTCCACAGTTCGTTTAGCTGGTGCTTCATCCTGATAAACATCCTGAATGTTTTTTACGGCTGCGGTAACGTTTATTCCCTTCCGAAACTCGTAAAGCATAACATGCCGTAAATGCACCTTATCGATACTCATTTTTAAAGTGATATTTCTCGAAGCAGTTTGTATGAAAACAAATGATTTTTTTTTTAATAACAGCTGAAGACGTCACCTTTCCAACGTTATATAATATGTAGATGGAAGTATTAATGACAACACTTTACGACGCTTATAACTCCATCTATTGAAACTCCGCACGAACTTTTGCACTCACCCAATATTACAAATAATATATATTACAAATAATATTATTAATAATAAAATATTATTTGTAATAATTTCGGTGCGCCGAGTAGACAAAACTTTTCAGTATTGTCATAGAGAGGAAAGGAGAGAGAGACAGTCGCGCCCGCGGTTCAGATTGTGGGCAAGGAAGGATTAGGCTGGCTGAGCGAGAACGAGAGCGACAAGGAGGGAATGATATTCTCTCTCTCTCTCTCTCTCTCTCTCTCTCTCTCTCTCTCGCTTTCCCGCTCTCCCGCTCTCCCGCTCTCCCGCTCTCCCGCTCTCCCGCTCTCCCGCTCTCCCGCTCTCCCGCTCTCTCTCTCTCTCTCTCTCTCTCTCTCTCTCTCTCTCTCTCTCTCTCTCTCTCTCTCTCTCTCTCTCTCTCTCTCTCTCTCTCTCTCTCTCTCTCTCTCAATCGCTCGGCGCGTCGGCAATTGCCGATCGCGTGGCTCACACGGATAGACCGAGCTGGATGGTGCGTGCATGGGAGGGGGGTGAGGGGGGAGAATCCTCGTGCAAGCCCGTCACCAAATTCGCATCACTGATACCAATGATGTCAAAACCGAACAAGCTGAGGACAAGCGTAACTTGTAAATATCGGAGATCAACTGTTTATCAGCTCATAGACAATTAATATGACGAGATATCCGCGGAGACCCATGTATTTCTCTCTCGTCTTTGCGTACAATTGCGATCAATAAAAAATTTTCACGAATTGTTCGGTTTTGACATCATTGGTATACGTGCGTATGTGTGTGAATGTGTACACGTACACTGTATTGCATCGATTCATTCCGCGAGAGGGGAAATAGAGGTCCCCCTCTCTGGCATGCTATTGTGCGCCAGCTCTCGGCGGCCGGCCACCCGAGCGCTCAACTTATCGACGACTTTACCGACACTGCAATGGCAACACGAGCAGCGAAAGAATAGTTGTTGCGTCGATAAAGACATGTATGTGAGAAAGCGGGAGAATATAAAGTCTGCCACTTTTATTTGGAGAACTTTTATCACAATGTAAATTGTGTTATTTTTTACGTAATAATATTAAATAGATAAACATAGAAAAAAATTGTATACCGTCACACATACGCGATATTGGATCTAAGTGAGAGATTGGTGCGGTGCATATATGTGACATTGATTGCAAGCAAATTGAATTTTTAATTAATCAAATAATTATGCGCACATACGGAAGTGTTCTTTTGTTAATATTTGGGTGGCTCTGAAAAGAGCCGTTTGATGTTTGGTTCTGAAAAGAACCGTTTTAATAATCTGTCCAATGCCCTTGGCGTGCAACAACTTGTTGGAGACGTACGTCGATGGAATTGTGCAAATTCCAGAAAAATTGAGGCTCCCGTCTAAGACCTTTCCATGCGTTCCTCGCGTGTGCAATTAGAGCAGCTCTTGTTCTCTCATGACCAGGATCCCATAAATTTACAATTATTGCCCAAACATTTTCTATTAAATTAAGATCTGGGAATTTCGCTGGCCAGTTGAGAACTTCAAGCTCTGGGTGTTGTGCAAACCCCTCTTGAATTATACGAGAGGTATGAACAGCGCTATTGTCCTAAACTAGACGAATTGTCGGCATATCCTCTTCTGCGTAGATTCTGCGAACGCTGGGGAGTAAAACGTTCTCCAGAATATCTACGTATTCGAGGGCATCCATATGCGGCGACACTTCGACTAGCTCACCTGGGCCGTGTGCACTAATCCAACCCCACATACCACAAGTGATACGTCCACTCCGATCGCAAGGAACAACATATTTTGGATTTAGACGGAGAGAATCAAACGGTCTCCATACGAACTGCTGTCGATCCACCGATGAACAAAATACCTTTTCGTTCGTCCAAATAGTACGCTTCCAATCTTCTGGCAAAACGGTGTTTATTTGCTCTAGAGCAAATGCTATACGATTGTCGCGATGTGCTTCGGTCAGTGGTATCTTCCGGGCAGGACGATAACAATATATGTCGGCGTCATTTAGTCGACGTCGCGCAGTGTATGCCGAAAACGGCAAATCCAGTTGATGTACACTTTGCGACAAAGAAAGAAAAGGATTGTTGTTCGCCTCTGCTAACAAAAGTGCGTCTTCCTCCTCGGTTGATACGCGAACTCCCCTATTATATTTTCTTCCGTCGACAAGGCCCTCCTTTCCTTCTGCTTGCCACCGTCCAATCCACTTCCGCACTGTTCTTCCGGAACATGGAATGCGACGTGCCATCTCTTCATTAGTTGCACCACACTCCCACATCCCAATAACGCATCCACGGTCGACTTCAGTAAATATATGTTCCATGATCATATATAAAGATACGCAATAGGACACGACTGTTAGAAGAAACAGCAATGATAAAAACAAATGCATCTCGGCAATTGTTTTCCTTTCGCAGTCCTATATATCCTTGCTCTTCTTTTGTTTTTGAAAGAGCGCGAAATGTAATGACGCGAAACAAGCACGTCGGTGTAGCGAGATAAAGGATGTTGCCGATATGTTACTGCATCCGCAGAATCTATGCAGACGACGATATGCCGACAATTCAATTATTTCAAGATAACAGTGCATGAAGTTCTCAATTGGCCAGTGAAATCTGTGGATCTCAATTAAATAGAAAACATACGGGGAAAAATTGTAAAATCCTGCTCATGAAAGCTCATGAGAGAAATATAACAACTTTGGTTGCACACGCGAGGAACGCATAAGAGGATCTTAGACGGGAGCCTCAATTTTTCTGGAATTTGCACAATTCCATCGACGTACGTCTCCAACAAGTTGTTGCATGCCAAGGGCATTGGACAGATTATTAGAACGGTTTTTTTCAGAACCAAACATCAAACGGCTCTTTTCAGAGCCACCCAAATATTAACAAAGGAACACTTCCGTATGTGCGCATAATTATTTGATTAATCAAAAATTCAATTTGCTTGCAATCAATGTCACATATATGCACCGCACCAATCTCTCACTTAGATCCAATATCGCGTATGTGTGACGGTATACAATTTTTTTCTATGTTTATCTATTTAATATTATTACGTAAAAAATAACACGATTTACATTGTGACAAAAGTTCTCCAAATAAAAGTGGCAGACTTTATATTCTCCCGCTTTCTCACATACATGTCTTTATCGACGCAACAACTATTCTTTCGCTGCTCGTGTTGCCATTGCAGTGTCGGTAAAGTCGTCGATAAGTTGAGCGCTCGGGTGGCCGGCCGCCGAGAGCTGGCGCACAATAGCATGCCAGAGAGGGGAACCTCTATTTCCCCTCTCGCGGAACGAATCGATGCAATACAGTGTACACATATATACATTAATAAAATAATTTGAGTTTGATACTTCTAAAAATAACACAATACGTGTTGTACTTGTACTTGGCGCCTTTTTTTTACCTTTTTGTTTAAAAAAGTAAGTTTTATATAAGTTTTACTTGTAAAATCTTATGTATTATCTTTAAGTTTTATTTGTAAAAACCTGTTATGTATGTACACGGTAGTTTGCGGTAATACACGGTAGTGTGCGCGCCGCTGCACGCACTGTAGCTGTGCTGTTTAGGTCCTGAAACTGGCATCATTGACTGAAATATATTTATTTCTTTACATACGTATTAAACGATTTATATATAATTTAAACGAATATGTAACAAAATAATCAAAAGATTCATAAAATATAAAAGAATGCCACATAAACAGTATATAAAACATACATCATACATTAGTGTTTATATATTTTATTATAAATAGCTTTCGCTATATTTGTAAGTGTTATCTTATATCTATTCTTTTTCGAAGAACATCTGAACTAATGTAATAAAGTGGAATGAAACAGATATATTTTTTCTCATTCTAAATTTAAATTATTGCATTAGTGTGCATTAGTTCATTGTTGTACCCATTCATTGCCGGTGCGAGTTCTTGTGTAGTGTATTTAATGGATAAATGTTCAAAATATGAACCATTTCAAGTTTTAATATAAATGTATTTATGTGACGCTTTTTAGCATATAAAACAAGATTGAAACTATTTAATATTATCGTTTGTTATGATAACAATACTTTTAGCTTTTAAAGAAGTGATGTTTTTCAGGTTAGGATGTTTATTGTATAAATAAGCCTTATAAATACTAAATGCTCATTAATTAAAATTTTTAACGATTTTTAATCTCATATCTTTATGCAAACACAATATGCACAAAGTTAAAATTTAAATAAATAATTTTAATCAAAATATTAAAAAGTATCTGCAACTTACTACAATATACTAATGGATAACAGTAATCACATATAAAGAATTCAAATAGTTATTATTTATATAAACAGGATAAATATAACCTATATGTATCTATAAATCTATTATTTTGCATTTTCATGTACAATCATACTTCCATAATGACGTTATAGTGTTAACATTAAGGCCTAAGAGAAACATAATATTTATTAGCAATTAAAACTTGAACTATCGATTAGTAATCTTTTAAACCTAATTGTTATCAAATAAGAATTAATATATTTAAGTCAATTAAGAATAAATATATTTTTACTGAAATTTGAAATTTCTGTACTTGTTTGTCAACATATGATTTAAACAACAAAATAGTAATAATTATACTTAATAGTTGATACAAATTATTTCAGATCATTACAAGAGATATGAATTCCTATCAAATGCTTCAACTAGCCTATAAGCTTAGGATGGCTTTTAGGATCTCTATAGATAGGTTTAACAAAATCAACATCAAAATAAAAAAGTATGAGATGTCTGAAAGAATTAAGGGTACCTTTCTTGAACGTTGGGGTAAATAATAAATTATTATTTAACTATTAAATTATTACTTAACTATTAAATTAAAATAGTAAATGCTATTAAAATATATTATTTTATATCATATTAAAGTTTTATTGATTCCAGCAAAATATTGGCATAACCTCTATATAGATTATAAAGATGTTGCGATTGATGTAGCTAAGGATTGTAAAAATCGTCCTATACGTGCCACAATTTATAGTACAAGTATATATTATTTTTTTTATATATTTCTATTTTATGCCACTTTGGCATATTATATTATAGATTATTTGCTAATGTAAAAATGATCATATATGATGTTACAGTTTTAGGAACCAGTTTGTATTTTAGTATACACAATCCAGATGAAGTTTTATTCAGAGATAATATGATAAAATATAACTTGAAATTGATGATGCTGGGAGAACTTATACGCAATCCTGTTGCTGTGAAGCATATAGAAAAGTTACAGCAATACTATAATGAAGGAATCATCAGGAGAATAAATTTGGGTATTTCATCTATAATTTGGATAGATAATTATGATCAAGACTGTTCCTCATACAAAGCTGTATGTCCATATCTTAAACCTTGTTATATAACTTTTTATAACAGAATAATAGATATAGGTTTCTTAGATAAGTGGTGGGTGTTAGAGAACAAAATGAATGACTATGATGTAAATGAAGCTGAATTTAATAACTTTATAAAATTGTCTACAAATACTACATAAATAGATTAAAAAATTCCTGTTATCAATATCATATGTGAATGTAATATATGATCTCTCAATAAGTTTCTCCTTGTTATTTATGTAACATTATAAAAAAAACAATAAATGTAAGTTCCATGAGGATTTCTGCATAACAAATATATATATTTATAAATTAATAACATAGAAATTCTGTTGTGTGTACAAAACTTGTCTTTAGTATTGTTAATTTTGTTAACATTAACAAAATTTTGTTAATATTGTTAACAAAATTTTATATAAAACAGGCATGTTTATAGATACTAGGATATTAAAATTAGATAAATTGAAGAGTATTCTTTTTTTATAACGTTTACAAAACGTTATAAAAATATATGTTAGATTCATAAAATTTGTAAGACAATTCTATTATTTATAAAAAAATATGAATTCAATAATTTAAATATAAGGAAATAAGATGGCAAATTTTAAGAAAAAAGCTAAAATTAGTATTCACAATGAAATAACAGAGCTTTTTATTTAAAAATATAACAAACATTTATCATAGTTTGTTGCAAGATTGATCACTTATTTCCTTATAAAAAAGACTTCTGAATTAAATTCTACAAAAATATATCTCTAAATAATTATATATAATCTTATACTATCCTTAATAACTTTCAACAATTTTCACTCATGATTTAGAGGTAATGTGTGTATTTATGGACCTGAAATTTAATTTAATCAGTATTATTAATAATAGTTTTGTAGGACTAATATATTAATGTTAAGTTATACTTATATATATTACCAGCTTGTGCATAAATTATGACTGTACGGCACGGAATGTAGACCATCATTTTGTGTGGATATGCAGAAAATGATTCTAGTTGAGTGAAATGTTGCACATTCAAGTCTACTCGATTTTGTCCACCGAACTGTTCATCATCACTGCATAAAATAATTTTATAAGATCCTGGTTTCTTTGTACCAATTGGATAATCGGCAAATGATTTATTCGGATGGAAATTGAAGACAAACACTAGATCAGCTCGATCAAAGACAACCACCTTGTCATCTTCATGCTTCCAACTCACATAACCCTATAAGTTGTAATTCCAAACTCATTTTCTATCACTTAAATTATCTCAATTTTTCAATATAAGCCTTTTTATACTTCTAATAAGTACAAAACTGTAAATGCGTGTGCATATGTGTGGTGCATGTGCGCACGTGCGCGCGTGTATGTATATGATACATGAAATCTACTTTACAGGGTTAGCATGCAGCCATCCATATTTTTCTTCAAGTGTGTTTACTGCGCGATCCCAATTGTTCATATATTTGTACTTTAACAATTCATCGTCTACTAAGTTCCACTGACGTCTCGCATAGTGGTAACTGTTCCCGTTTCCAACCCTTGGAAAATCGAGCCATTCAGGGTGACCGAATTCATTACCTATATAACATACATTTTCATATACTATCCCAAAATTGTTATTGCTCGTTTCTACCACAACATTTTATAAGTTTTAAAATAAAAATATTTTAAGAGATTAAAAGAGCTCGTTACTCACCTATGAAGTTTAGATAAGCTTCACCACCCAAAGCATGCGTGATCAGTGTGATTAAATTATGGAGAGCAATACCACGCGAAATGATATCACTATGTGTCAGAGTACTCATATGTGTATACATTTCCTTATCCATAAGCCAAAAAGCGATTGTTTTGTCGCCTACAAGAGCTTGATCGTGAGATTCGGAATAAGCAATCGACTTCTCCATCCATCTTCGATTCGACAATGTCCAACAAATATCCCCAACATTCCAATCTTCATCTTTTACCTCCTTTAACAATTTAATCCATTTGTCGGGAATAGCCATAGCTAATCGATAATCGAATCCTACACCACCTTCAGCAACTGGCCTTAAAAGAAAAAAGAAAAAAATATATATAATTTGTTTTATATGAAAAATTTATCTATTTTATATTTATATATCAAAATTATTTGCATTAACATTTATTAACATTAATACATCTTATACCTGCAAATGCCTGGCATTCCACTAACATCTTCAGCTATTGTGATCATTTCAGGATATATATCGTGTAACATATGATTAGCAATCATTAAGTATACTACACCCTCTACATCAACATTTAGACCATAATATTCATCATAATGACCACTGAAACCTTGTCCAAAACCCCTCGAATGATATAACATTGAAGTAATACCATCAAATCTGTCAAATTTACATATAGATGTTATATATTTGTTTACAGCAATAAAACTTATTATAGATTAACAATGGAATACCTGAATCCATCAAAGCCATATTCCTCAATATACCAACGTAAGTTAGATAATAAGAATCGGAGTACTTCGTACTCGCCATAATTGAATAATCTGCTATCCCACAATGGATGCTCGCCACGACAACCACTGTGAAAGAAACACGCATCCGTACCATCAAACATATTTAAACCATCCAAGGTGTTTTTGGATGCATGCGAATGTACCACATCTAGTAGTACATAAAGACCATGCTGATGCGCCACATCTATTAATTCTTTCAATTCTTCAGGAGTCCCATAACGAGATGAGGCAGCATAAAAAGAAGTTACCTTAATTTAAATGGAACATTATAGAATTGACTGTACATATTTATACAATAATTTAAAAAATTAATATATATATAGAATGAAAGTGTGCACCTGATATCCAAAACTAGCATAATATGCATGCTCCATGATTGCCATTAATTGTATTGCATTGTATCCCTGTTTTATAATTCTTGGTATTATATTTTTTGCAAACTCCAAATAAGTACCAACCCGTAATTCTTGAGTACTGATTCCAACATGACATTCATAAATTCTCAGACTCTCTGGTTTCTTTGGTTTAGGATGTTTAAATTTATATACCTGAAAAAGAAAAAAAGAAAAATCTTTTCATCTTCTAATTATATATTATATACAAACATTTATAATGATATTTATAATGATAATTATTTAATACATTTTCTGGAGATGGATGCCATATACGTTGTTTATAAGTAGTCCCCTCAGATTTATCTGCTGGTTGTGTTACATAAGTTGCCCAAGGACTTAGTCTCTCAAGCAACTCATTATGATTTTTGATAATAATTTTTACTTCAGAGAGATGTTTTATAGAGCAACTACCATCTATATTTGGAGGTAATCTCAGTTCCCATTTGCCATATTCCAATTTCTTAAATGGTGTGACAGTTCTATTCCAATTATCTTTACAAGAAACAATTGAAACAATTAAAAATAATTCTAATATATCAAGTTAAATATTATTAATTATGTATGAGTAGTTTTTTACTGAAATCTCCAGTCAAAAATACTTCTTGCGCAGCAGGCGCCCATTCCTTTGCAATAACACTATTATCATCCAGAATATGAATTCCAAAGTTTTTATATGCCATTGTAAATTGTTTTAAATCTTCATCTCCCTCCTGTATTTTTTCAATATAATCTTTAAATATAGCATATCTAAAATAGAAATATTCTATATAGTGTTTTATATATATATTTTTCAAATTATAGAAATTGGAAAATCCTTCTTAAAATTATATAATACAATAGAAGTTAAACGAATACCAAGAATTGTATTAATAAAAAGGCTTATATCTGTTAATATTTTTTATTAAATAAATTTGAATTATTATAAGTAAAAATATACATTACCTTCGACGAATATCATTTTCATATGGCTTCAAATAGGGATCTCTTTCCAAAAGAATTTTTATTTCTGGAACTTCAATTTGTGAGGGATCCATGCTAGACCATTTTCCTCCCATGTTTCTAAAATTACGAAACTCAAATAACTTTAATAACACACGACCGCGTAATTAAATGTAATCGGAGCATAGACCGGCTAAAATTTGAATGACATATCAAGGTGATCCCCCCTTTGATGACACGCACCACAATACACTTCCATCTCTATTCATTTTCGTTTCTATACTTCCATCTTTACCTTAGAACATGAAGAGAAGGGGCAAAGTGCAATTCAGTGTGTGTAAAGCCAGCGGCACACGGTACTTGTTTTGATACTGGATTGCTGCTGGATGAAAATACTGCGTTCTGATTGGTGCATTTCCATCCATCTTCGGAAACGTATCAATCAGAACGCAATATTTTCATCCAGCAAGTAAAGCCAGCGGCACACGGTGCTTGTTTTCGTGCTGGATTGCTTGCTGGATGAAAATACTGCGTTCTGATTGGTGCATTTCCATCCATCTTCGGAAATGTACCAATCACAAAGCAATATTTTCATCCAGCAAACAATCCAGCACGAAAACAAGTACCATGTGCCGCTGGCTTAATCCAGTACGAAAACAAGTACTGTGTACCGCTGGCTTTACTACGGATATAACAAATCAGTGGTGGTACTACGTAATTTTATAGACATAGGCCCATATTCAGAACGTGCTTATAACTATGTTAGCACGCTGTTAACCAATGAAACCAATGAAAAGCCACGCAATATGCCTTCTGATTGGTTAACAGCGCACTAACATAGTTATAAGCACGTTTTGAATATGGGTCATAGGCTGGTATTCACAGTCGTTTCTTATATTTAAGACCGTCTTAAATTTATCTTCAGATGCTACACAAATCATTTCATTGGCTATAGGGTATCTGAAAGTGAACTTAAGACGGTCTTAAATATAAGACCTGACTATAAATACCGGCCATAGACTACGTTTATACCGCTTCTAACTTCGACTTAGTAACGTTAATGTTATAACTACTTAAGGTGAATTGCGTTTACTCATTTACGCTTATCTATTTGAAATAACTTAATAACTTTCGAGTGAGTCAAGGATTTCCATTAGTACCAATATAAAAGGCCGAAAAATGAAATGATTGTGATTGTAGTCTGAATATAAAAGAATTAGAATATGAAAAGAATAGTATGTAAATAAATCAACAAATAAAGTGAACTTTTAGGTTATATTATGAATTTGAAAATTATAAAATATGTATATATCTATATAGTAAAATTTATATAATAAAATATAATATTCAATTAAAAATAAAATTAAAATTTTAGGTTATCAATTTTGGAAAAAATTAATCATGGAAAATATGGAAAGCGTACGCTCGTTTGTTGCTATATATTTGAAAATAGTAGAAAATATGACGATGCAATATATACTATATGTACGAAATATTTTGATTAAACGGCGAAAGCATCAGAAAGAAATTATATTACAACATTTGTTGAATTTAACACCACCAAATCATTTGCTTGATCTCGGACCCGTATTACAATTTTCACGACATAAATCAATTTTATAATCAAGTTAAGATATTCAATTTTTATATTGGTATTATTGTCATATTTACACTGCGTCCGTCTACACGTCTTCCTTACATCGATGTAGAAACTCTAAAGACCATTATACGTAAAAAAATTTTAGTCGTAACCGTAAGACCGTAAGCAAATTGACCAATCACAATCCAGCATCTCGAAATATACGAATTGTGATTGGTCAATTTGCTTACGGACTTACGATTACGACTAAAACTTTTGTACAATGCCCTTTGTACAATTGTGCAATGGCCTTAAGCCTCTTCACCAAATGACTTTGAGTTACTACATCAATGTAATAACTTCGTCGTAAAGGAGTGTTTACACGGCATCTAACGTCAGTAGTTATAACATCGATGTTATAACCAGAGAGAAGCCTGAGAGCGGGCATGGCTGCATTTACAGCGTTATGGAAAAGTTGGCTGATTCGAAGCGCCAACTGGGTCCATTTTTCATGGACATGAACTACTAAGCCAATGTCCACGATTTGTTGGTACTATCCCGTGCTATGTCCATAATTATTTGGTTCTGTTCTGTGCTATGTTCACGAGCGAGCTAGATTAGTTAGATAAAAACGAAGAATCGGTCTTTGCCTCACCACCAGCGAATAGCCAATCGCGACGAAGCGAGGCAGCAGCGATGTTATCGTAAGGCAGACGTCGCCGTCCTCCCTTTCACCCCCTTGTTTTCCTTTCCACATTGTTTTATATTCATGATTCGGGAAGAAAATAATTTCGAGAGTTCGGATGATTTCTAGCAATGACGCGACAGAGATAACGCGCGGCCACATTAATTTGTCATGACTTTTATATTACTTATAATTACATAAACGCCCATATATGCAAATTATAGATAATTATTGCGCGTATGTTTTAACATTGTACAATATGATATATAATAATAACAACTTCATTTCTTGCAGTAATTTTTTTAAGATCTTCGTTGAGGTCGTGAATTAATTTTTTTTTCACCAATCAGTTTTCTGCAAAAATTACGACTTTTTAAATAAAATATAAAATGTTTCTCTTCTCTTCTCTCCGAAGAGTTAATTAAAAAATATGTACTCCACAGAGTCAACTAAAAAATGTGTAGTCAGAAGAGTCAATTCAAAAGTGTACTCCGAAAAGACAATTTAATAGCATATTCCGAAGAGTCAATTTGAAAGCGTACTCTGAAAAATCAAATTAATATTGTAATTCGAAAAGTCAATTTATAATAGAATATTTACTTCGATGATTCAGCTAAAGAAAAAAACATTTATTTATTATTATATTCAGAGAATAATATTTAATTTATTATTTATACTTATCTTACTTATGCTTATCCTACATATGCTTTGAATGAAAAATTTAATTTGTTGACTGATTCAGATTTAGATTTGTTAAAATATCTCTTATGCGCAACTCTTGAACAGGTAGGTAGTAAAATAATACTTTTTCTTTACGAATTTTATAAACTTTTCACGAACATAAAAATTGAAAGATTCTCAGAGAACAAATAACTTTTCTTGAACATTTAAATCAAAGGAAAAAATTTTCCCATTAATAAAGAATGAATAATTAATATCTCACACAAGAAGAATCTTCATCCTTGAAAGCACAGCGCGATTTTGCTTTTAGAAAAGTATAATATTGATGTAATAGTAACAAATGCTATCCAAACACGGTGAAAATCTTAAACGTTTTTGAGAAACGCAGTTTGAAGTTTAGTCTTTTCTGTTAATGTCGTTATAGCAGAAGAATTACCAATTTGCTTCAGTAGCGCAGTGCATCAGGCTTTGTGATATGAGCGTAGAGGTTGTTCAAGTTTATTATTTTTGCTATCACAGGGAAAACTATGTAGAATGTATAATAATACGCAGACAAATTCTTTACATAATCATACTTATTTCTTTTAGCATGAATAAAAATGATCAATGCTAACATGATAAGTATATATCGCAATTGTACGTGTACGTGTACACATATCACACACATATGCACACGTGTACCAATGATGTCAAAACCGAACAATTCGTGAAAATTTTTTATTGATCGCAATTGTACGAAAAGACGAAAGAGAAGTACACGGGTCTCCGCGGGTATCTCGTCATATTAATTGTCTATGAGCTGATGAACAATTGATCTCCGGTATTTACAAGTTACGCTTGTCCGCAGCTTGTTCGGTTTTGACATCATTGGAATCAGTGATGCGAATTTGGTGATGGGCTTGCACGAGGATTCTCCTCTCCCCCCAACTCCATATACGCACACAGCCAGCTCCGACAATCCGTGTGAGTCACGCGATCGGCAATCGTCGACGCGCCGAGCGAGCGAGAGAGAGAGAGAGAATATCATTCCCTCCTTGTCGCTCTCGTTCTCGCTCAGCGAGCCTAATTCTTCCTTGCCACAATCTGAATCGCGGGCGCGACTGTCTCTCTCCTTTCCTCTCCATGACAATACTGAAAGTTTCGTCTACTCGGCGCACCGAAATTATTACAAATAATATTTTATTATTAATAATATTATTTGTAATATATATTATTTGTAATATTATTATTTGTAATTTCACTTGCAATTGTTAATAATGTTACAAATAATACAAATTTTTACAAATTTTATTATTTGTAAAATTTATATCATTTGTAATATTATTTGTAATAGTATTAATAATATCCGGCGCCAAGAAAATGAAATATATTTTATTAATTATTTTGCGGAGTCGGGCAGGTTCACAGGTTTAATTATTGGATTGTTTAATAATATTTTAAGAATAATTTTAAGTTATACAAGGATGTAGTATGAAATATAAAAGAATATTGTACAGAATCAAGAAGTACGAAATGAAACCTCTTTGCTTTTATTACAATATCCTGTAAGTTAATAAATATTTTTCATACAGTATTAAATAATCTCCAAAAACAATTACATCCGTGAAATTTTCTATCCGCGCAAGAAAAATTCATAAAATATATTTGTTTCGTCGCTCTAAATGAGAAAACTCTCAGAACAATGTCATAGTTGTTCAGTGCACTACTCAATAAAAATATAATAATACTATGTTTGTATGTGTGAAGAATATTTGTTAACTTACAGGATATTGTAACAAAAGCAAGGAGGTTTTATTTCGTACTTCTAAGGCCAAGACTTATTAACGGCTTAAGACATATTCGAATCGATCTTGCCTTAATTGGTCGGATCAATGATCGGTCTTGCCTTAACTTCCAAGCCTCATAACACGGAAAGTACTCAATGAAATGTAACTTTGATAGAGTGTTTTGGAAAGTTCTCGAGATAAGCTACAAGAATATGTAATAAAAAGTTGTAGTTTCTATTTAAAAAAACATTAATGACCTTGGCCTGATTTTGACAAGGTCACTCAAGGTCAAGTCCACATTTCTGTCATGTGTCCTCCTTCAATCCATGCAACTTTTGTTCGAAAAATTTTTTAATAAACCAACAAATTTTTACAAATAAAATTTATTATTATTTATTAGAACACTGAG